CTACGACCAACTTGTTGCTGCCTTTCCCTCTGCTGTACGCGTTATCAATGAGCACATGCTTCGTACTTGTAGAGGCGCTCAGGCAGTTTCCCTTGGCGACACTGAGATGTGTGAGGGCACAACGGCGATGGGCAAGTCGACTTCCAATAGAGGAAAAGTCCTGGTCTTCTGTGAGACGGGAAACGACCGCTCGGCTAGCATTGTAGCGGCGTATCTGATGGCCGTAATAGGCATGACAGCTGACGATGCTTGCCGTTTCGTCCAGCGAAGCCGGTTCTGCGTGGCCATGGATGATTGTATCAAGAATGCGCTTCGAACGTACGGGGACATTCTACTCGCTGGGCGCATGGTCCACCGGCATGAACTCGACCCTCATATGTCGACGGTGCCCAAGAAGCCAAAAAGGGGAATCGACGATATCATTGTCGATGACGAGACCGACGTTGACATGGCAAGTGTGGATCCTTCGGTACTCCTAGATCAGGATCGCTTCAGGGACCGTCCTCCTTTTGTTCCTTTCATCGACAACTGAGGCCACTTTGCCGGGATTAGGTCACATTCATCTGCCAGGGCATGGTGGTCTTTATACTGGAAGGTTTATGGCCATCAAGGGCGTCGGCGTTACGGATCGTTTTCATTACTTATACCCAGATAGATGTTTTTGTTGATTTCTTGGGGCCGTCCCTATGGCAGGAATGTACTCATTAACGGTATAGGTTCATGATCATACCATGCTCTATCTCGCTAGTATTCTGACCCGAGAGAGGGCCGATTGGCTTGCAGAGTCTTGCTATGAGTTGATGTGACCAACCTTTATCTTGAGAGGTTGCAGAGGGCTAAACAGCAACCTCTGACCTATCGCCTTCGCACTTGATGGCCTGCCAAATGAGTGGTTGCCGCTCTTGTAACACATTGCAGGGTATCATGCTAAGGTTACCCGTTGTCGGTGTTATCACAGAATAGAGTAGAGGCCTCACCTGAACTCTGAGTCTGGCGCATTGGTGGCAATGACATATTCAAAAGGCATCGGTATAAACATTGCCCCCTACGAGGGGACGTCCGAGAAGTAGAAGACAACCAAATTTGAGTGGCGAGGATGGTTCTTCGTTCCAACATTGTAAGTTGTAATCCCTTTTCTCTTCACATTGTGGCAAGTGTCATTATTCACAAACAGTCACCAGAAGGTCATATATTCTCCCCAGCCGCTTTCCATGTCTGTTACTCTATCATCTCCTCTCGCCCCTTCTATCTTTGCGCTTTGCTTATGCATCGCTCATCGGTGATGACGTAAAAGTAAATGGAAAACCTAACCTATTCGATTTCAGCAGCCCCTCAAATGCTCATCCCACTCCAAATTTCCAAGGCCAATACGTCTCGATATAGGTAAGCACCTCCTCTACCCCTCCTATGTGAGACTGCATGCAATGCCCTTGCATGAAGGCCCACGATTGTGATAGCAGGTCGCTATGTTCTCAACTCGTACCTGAAGCACCGGATCCTAGCTCCTCCCGATTCTTCTCCATTTCCAGTGTCGTACCTCACTACCACCGATGGTGCGAAGACCAATCCTCCACGTACTCGAGGGTTCCAGGGTTATTTGCCACGTTCTTGCACCCTCAGAGCCATGTAGCGACGATTTGTCGGCATTCAGCACTGGATGCATCGGATCAGGAATCTCAAAAACTAAGGTTACTCAACTATACACTTCCTAATTCTTTTGAAGTTTCCTGAGTTGAGATCCAAACGTGTCAACTAATCAGTTGCCTTGGATCGGGACTTTCGAGTTTTGATTCTCAAGGGTGTGATAAGTGATTATAACGCAAGGGACGCAACTGCATGGTTCCCAATGGATTATTATGAGAAACTGGCCTATACACTGGCCAGTATCGGGCTATCAATCTGTTCGCCCCCTCCTACATCACAGCGGTCCCTCAGTAAGGGCAAGTAAGGGGTGCAGCCCTGGCTTGTATGACTTTCGCAGCCCACCTCCCCTCATGGTATAAAGATGTAGCAGTTGTTCCTAAATACCGCATTGGCTTCTATACGCACGCCTTCACAGCCACGGATTGAATTGCATCTTCACGTCGTCCATACCTTGAGAAAATTCTGGCATGATGGTGGAAGTGTTTAGAGACCCGACTCTGCGACCCGCAGCCGTCCTTGAGGAAGAGGTCAGGATGCGTGTGGGCCAGGTCGAATACGTATTGATCCCCCATAATCCCCCATTCATCAAATTGGTTGAAGACACAACCCCTTCTCTCTTCCTAGTCATCGCTATCGAGCCAGGCCAGACCATCTCCCGCGAGACGCTGGAGACATTTCACCGAGAGTTCCTTAGCCGAGATGATGTGTTCCAACCCTCCTTCGCCACCTGCATCGTGTTCTACGGAAGCAGCGAACAGAATCTCCACGTTACCAAAGAGGCCAAAGAAGAGTTGAGAGGATGGGGGATGCGGGAATGTCACTTCGTTGGCCGCGTCCCTTTCGCAAAGGTTCCTCCTGGTCCCTATGTCTTTGCAAAAGGGAAGGTGTGGCAACCGTGGAGAGAGTCTACTACGATACCCACGCTGCCTTCATGTGCTCGTTCAAGCCCTCGACCAACCAGTCTGGAAGATAAGTACTTGCGTACCACATGGGATTCGTCGCCGCTCACGTACTGACTTGACATTACTCTCGAAAGGCTTGATTACGGAGAGGGCGGATTTGACGGTAGAGTTATCGTACCATCCCGATGTTACTTCCCCGAGTCCCTCTCCCTGCCCTTGAACGGACTCAGAGTCGCGGTCAAGGACAACATCGATATCAAAAGCCACAGAACGACATTGAACAACCGAGCCTGGCGAGAGTTCTGGCCGCCGGCCTCCAAGACAGCACACTGTGTTCAGCTGCTGATCGATGCCGGCGCAATCATCGTCGGCAAAACCAAGTCGCAGGCCATGACAGTACGGGAGGAGCCGCTTGAAGCTGTAGAATTCACGGATCCATTCAATCCGCGCGGTGACGGCTATCAGGTACCGTCTGGCAGTAGCAGTGGAAGTGCTGCCGCCATTGGTGCATATGGGTGGCTCGACTTGTCTCTCGGGTCTGACAGTTCGTCAAATACTGATACACCTACATATCGTGGACATGCAGTTCTAACCTGGAGCAGCTAATGGGAGCGTTCGTAAGCCAGCTCACTACAACGGGTGTCATACGATTCGCCCGACTCATGGTATCATGAATACTGAGGGTGTCGTTGGCTTTTTCCCGTATGTATCCTAATTTCCCTTGGTAAACCATGGGATCTGGTCCTTCCCATTGGCTGTTGAAAATGAATACCATCGCCGCCGGCACAAGCTAACACTAGAACACGCTAGAGAATTTGATATGCCAGGTTTCTTTGGGCGAGACCTTGCAGAGTTCCCCCAGATCATGTCGGTGTGGTATGGAGAATCGCCAATGCTTCTCTCGCCATCTGAGGTATGATCTCATTACTATTAGCCACACCTTCTTTGTACTCACTCGGGACATGTGCTGATGGCTGCTTAGAAACCGGTGAACAAGATTCTTTATCCCCAGGACTATCTGCCCACCACCAATAAAGATCAGTCGGCTGTGATCAACAACTTCGTCACTGCATTAGAAGGTTATTTGGGTGTGACGCGCGAATCGGTCTCCATAGCTGAACGGTGGGCGAAAGATCAACCTGACGGATCAGATCATACCGACATCTCCCAGTACCTCGAGAAGGTGCGCAGTGATGAAGTTCGACATGCCGTAAGAGGTGATTGCTAACTCCACGGCGGGTCTCCAGGCTGGTTGTTATCCTTTCTTCCATGACACATACCAGAATTCAGAGCCATTTCGAGTCGGATACGAAAAAGCGTTTGGGAAGCCTCCTTTCGTTCATCTCTTCGAGCATTGGTTGTGGTGCGTAGTGCGGTGTGTGGCGGGCGATAGAATCGGGAGACCAGGGGACTGATGTTTCCACTCGATTATAGGAATCTCGGCAAGTCGATTTCGAAGGAAGAGCGAGACGAGTGTTGGCGTCGCCTTGAAGTCTACCGCAAGTGGCTCCTCAAGGACGTATTCCAAAGCACGTCGGGCGTTGTCACCATCATGGTCCTGCCCATCGAAGTTGGCCAATTTAACTATCGGGACACCAGAGCGCCGTGAGCTCACCGCCAACCCATCTGCTAACCTCTCCCCGAAATTTTGATTTTACATGCTGACGCATTTGACGACTATACAGGCCTCCTTATAGTCTCTTGAACGGCTACTCAGCGTTGAACTTGTCCCCTATCATGAAAGCACCGGAAGTTACTGCTATAGGTATTTTCTTGCCAGCAACCCTGAATGATAGTTGAAACGGGCCGTAGTTCTAACGGCTGTCTTAGTTGGGCAAACGAAGTTCATGTCCGACGTGACCAAGAGGCTTGAGCCGTATCCTATCGCCGCTTCAGTCCTCGGACCTCCCGGTAATACCGCAACTTTCTTTCATTGTCGCTCTCGCTTAGATATATACTAACATCGTTACCACGATTAGGCTCGGACCTCATAGTCACTCAACTGACGATCGCAGCGATGAAAAAGGCGGGGATCACCGTCCACGTCAAGACTGGAGCTAGTGTGTACTGAGCTGTTATCTGACCGTTTGGGTTTTTCGTGAGGGAAGTTGGACATGGCAAAACAGGTGAAGCAAAAGACAAAGCTGTTGGTTGAGACGACCTGAGGTTGTACGTAGGTAAAGCCGTCATCGACGCATTCATAGACAAATTGCAGAAGACAAGCTGGAAGCTTATTTCTGTGTTTCATCCACGATAAAAAAAGAAAATGTGCAATGTAGACAAGAGAGGGGACAAAGAGAACAGATGTAGATAGTACACTAAACGGAAAAAAAGAGTAAACAAAAACCACTTTACGTGCCAAGAGTATAATAAAGACTATTCTATAAAGCCTGTTAAGTTGGGCTGTTATCAAGTGGGGTTCGAGGTCCAATCACCAAGCACTTTCTCAATTTGGGGCGAATGGTCTAGAGGTATGATATTCGCTTTGCATATCCGATATGTCTGCGAAGGGTCCGGGGTTCAATTCCCCGTTCGTCCAATCTTTTTCATTTTTTATCTTCCTGGTTAGGCAGGATCTTATATAGGGGGTAGAAACGGTATTGCTTTGTCTTTTCACCTACCCTAGCATTATTTCTTGTTAAGGGCACCCAATAAATTGGCTTTGGAAATAGAACTAGAAGTGTGCCTTGTTCCCGAAACGAAGTACCTACCCTTCTCTATCCCACGATTGTGACTGAATTATGACATAAAGACAAAGGCCCCTATTACAATGCGCCTTGTTTTCTTTCGTGTCTTTCTCGATGCCAACACACAGAAAGACCGGTCTGGGCAAACAAAGGGGACACAATGCTTTGATCAAAGGGAACAACACATCGGCCACAGCTATTGTCACCTATTTGCCTTAGAGGTCAACAATGTCTCAGACAACGCTATTGTTCAATGTTCCGCATCGGATATATATACTCGGTGTAATGCAATGCCAGAATTTCAGATCTTATTCACTGTTTCCTCAGGTCATACCCATACACTGGTACAAACTGCGGTACTAACGAAGCTTCCAATCTCTCTCCATCCACTTCCACGCCAGAAGAGCCATATAGTACCGAGGGACTTGAGAAGAAAAATTTTCCAAACAGGGACCTAGCTTAGCAGCCAGCCATGTGTTACTACAACTGGGTCGTTGACCGAAGCCACCAGGAGGATGGCAACGGCAGCTCCAAGTCATACTGGTGCCCCGGCAGAGAAACCAAGTGCCCCGAGGCCGAGAAGGGCAACCTAGCCCTTGGCAAGTGCTCCATGGGCGTGAAGATTGTCTGCTCAAAGCCGGGGGAAACAACAACAAAAGACCATACCCCGATAACCGATGTCTCGACGCTTCCTGAGGAACCGATGGAAATGAGTGAGGAGGGGAGACCAGCGGAATGACGCTTTCGGAGGTTAAACAGTAATTTAGAGTCAGAGTAGATTATAAAGCTACAGAAAAGAACAAAAACAAAAAGTTCTTAAGCTCGCTAAGGTTAGAAGTCTTAAGATCCTAGTTCAATATATAAATTAAAACCTGTGTCGTTAATAGCATATATCTTACTTGTGAGTTTTGAGTGCCCCTGGTGCTCCATTTGTTTATAGGTGTCTGGCGACACTATCGCTGCCCAAGCACAACGAGATCAAATACCAGTCAGTCGCCTTGGTGATCATGATACATCAATTAGAAAGGTAGCGTGTAGCTCCGCCTCATTAATGCGTTCCTATGCGAGGGGTGAAAATATTCTGCTTCCATGTCCCGAATACAAAAAATCCACGAGAGCGAATCCGGATATCGTAGGGGCATGGCCCACATTCAGGTTATCCTGCAGCCATGGGGATACGCCATTTATGAATCCTTTGGTTGGCCGGGAAGCTTGGTTACAGTACTGTGCAAGTAATCATCTTCCTTTCAGGAAGACAGAAGTGATGATCGTCATCGGTTGCCTCCTTGCCAAGACTGATCTGCCTTTAGTGTCTAGGGTGGGTCTTACTAGCAAGGGGCAGCTGTGCATACTGTACATACACAATACTATCTTCTTCACCATCTGCAGCACTTTGCCTGTGCTGCCAGTCGCGCCAATGTCATGCATTCCTTAATCGTTATTTTCCGCTTATTGCTGCGTCTACTAACAAGTTCTGTTATTCGCCTGATGTGCTCTGCTGGGTACCAGGGCCGATGCCGCGTGCGAACCCGAAATCGGGACATTACACTCTCCCTCAGCATCTGCTCCTCGTGACGTGGGGGTAATACCAATACCTACCTACTCACCATCGTGACACTATGATCGTCATGGCCTGATAAGACTACCTACCAGTGAAGAGGATGAAGGATGTTACCGAAAGCACGTGACGTGGAGGATACTAGAAAATCCCAGACGAGATAGCCGACGATCTAGTAGTTATGCATCACATTAGCAGTACTACTATGAGAAAGATCAAGCCTATGGAAGGAAGTTAGAGGCCGAGAACTTCGAGTGACAGATCGTTTGATTGGCCATGTTCGCTTCTGTCGCGACGGGGGCAAGCTGTCCGGTCCAAAGCTGGCAAAGTCAACAACCTCTGCCGACAGTCGACCCATGTCAACCTACCCTATAAGTTATAACGGGCGGATATGGAGCGTACACCGTCTATCACGAGGGAGGACATGGGAAACATCGCAATGTCTTACAACCACCATGAAACTACCTAATTCCGGGAGTCAGGTGTTACGAGCTGGCATCGAGAGGAGCGAAGCTTCCTTGCTTTGTAGTCCTTTCCACCAAGGGACCTTCCTGCCCCGGCACGCTTTGCCGGTTTCGCACTTTGTTCCCCGCAGAAGCAGTGCCAGTGATCACCTGCGTCTGCACACAGTAACGTCACCCAAACCCCTCTGCTCATTCTACCTGCTACCTAAGTAGGTACCTAAGGTTAAGCCCCTACAGTGTCGAGGAGGTAAGTATGTAGTGAGTGAGTGGGCCATGACTAGAAAATGCTGCCCTCTTCTTGACAACTCTCTCATGACAATCTTTCGTCATCGAGGTCCAAACCGATAGTTGCTCTCTTTCCAACTGCCCGCCAATGGCTTCGCGCACGCTAGACAGCCAGGACAAACCGACACCTCCCTTTCCCACGAAGCAGCTTGTAATCCTTGGTATGACTATGCCATAGGACCCAAATCCCCATGCAGAGAAGAGCACTCTGACTGATACTGCTATAACTACCTAAAGCAATATGCCGCTTCTCGGAGCCGATCGCCTTCAACTCCATCCTAGCGTACACGTACGTGATGGTGAAGGACTGTAAGTTGTTACCACTATTCTCTGCTATCTATGCATTGCTGGCGCTCTAAGCTATCGCTCTTGCACGCAGTGATGCAAAATGAATAACGCAGCATGTCGCAGTGAACGGCGGTGAAGATAGAGATACGGCATTCTATGCCGGTCTTTTGGTATCGGCATACGCCATGGCCGAGGCGCTGACCGCCATAGTATGGGGAGCGATCTCTGACCGATACGGCCGGAAGCCTGTGGTCCTGATCGGCCTAGGAGGCGTCGCCATATCGGCCTTGATCTTTGGCCTTGCTGAGAAGTACTGGGTCGCGCTTCTGGCTCGGTTCATCGGTGGTGCGCTGAACGGAAACGTTGCTGTAAGCCCGTTCTTGCCTGCAGCACAGTGACCACAAGCTGAGGTGGCGAGCAGGTGATGCAGACAATGGTCGCCGAGATGGTGAAGGTGCCTGAGCATGAGCGTGAGTTTGACCTCTCAGCTTACTTTTGAACCCAGAATCTAAGATTACTAACCCGGCCTGGACCAAAAAAATAGCTGCAGCATATGCCACACAGCCGTTCGTTTGGACTCTAGGTGGAATCATCGGGTCTGCCATGGGCGGGTTCCTGGCTGAGCCGGCGATATTTTATCCTTCGGTGTTTCCGGCAGACGGTTTGTTCGGCCGGTATCCATACCTGCTGCCGAATCTTGTCTCGGTCATTGTCATTGTGGTCGCCATCATCCAAGGCATTTTCTTCTTGGAGGAGACGAACCCGGGAAGCAGCTTGTTCCATGGCGATGTCACAGCAGATGCGGATGAAGATGACGCTGTTATCGACAATGACAGTACTGTAGACGAGAGAACGCCCCTCAGTCATAGCCACCAATACCGTCGCCCAAGGATATCCGCAATTGAAAATCGTCCCGTTATTCAGGAGGAGGGCCTTCCTACGGTCGTTGAGCAGAACTTCGATATACGGCGCACCTCATTCAGCACCGTACACTCCATCCGCTTGGTTGTCGACCCACAAGTCAGGCCCCCCTTGCCTCGAACCAAGTCCAAGCAATATACAGGCTCTGTCTTCAACTTTACTATCATCATGCTTACGCTCTCTCTGGTGTTGATGGCCTATCATCAAATGGCTTTCTGGACGCTGTTTCCGACGCATCTTCTCGACAAGCCGGCGGTGCCCCATGGACAGTTGGATAGAGTCGGCGGGCTGGGCCTAACTATTCACGATGTTGGAATTTATCTCTCGATCAATGGCGTCTTGGGACTGTTTATCCAAGGTCTCATATTCCCCGTCTTCGTCGATCGAGTGGGCGTCTGGCACTCGTTTCTTATATCTGTCGTGCTCTTCCCTCTGGCCTATTTGGTGATGCCGTTTCTCTCGGCGCTGCCCCCGGTTCTGCAATCTGGTGGTATCTATCTCTCCATGGTACTGCAGAGTTTCTTCAGCATTATCTCTCTCCCGACCGGCCTCATACTGCTCAAGAACGCAACACCCAGCCCGACGGTCTTGGGCCGCGTAAACGGTCTAGCTATGTCGGCTTGCTGCTTCGCGAGAACCATTGCCCCGCCAGTGGCTGGTATTATCTACGCGGCCGGGGGTTCCGCATCGGCTTGGTTCAGTTGCGCTGGCGTGGGAGTCTTGGGCATGCTGCAGCTTTTCTGGGTTCCCAGAGAGCATATTCACGACGTTATTGTGGAAGCGAATGTGCTCAGGAAGACGCTGAGCCACTCAGAGGTTGGGGAAAGGATTGGTGAGCACGATGTCCAGCATTGAAGAAAGGAGAGAACAACCTATGTCTCCTGTGCACGTGGATGACTTGGCTTTCTAGCTCAGGTGGCGAGTATGACTAAGTATGTAGGCAGCATGGCGATAGTTTGGACGCCATGATGCCACGGCTGCTGGCTTCGTATGTTGAAGAATAAGTGACGCACAAAGCGGACTCGGATGATAATGTTTAATTCATTGGAAGTAGATGGGGTATCTTAGGTTCCCGTCTAAAATAAACTACCTTTCGCCTGGGCCTTTTGTCTTATGGATTCTACGAGGCTGCTGATGTCGTCGTTCGCCCCCTTTATCTTCTGCTTCTTGGCCTTGCCACCGGTTTCTTCGGGCGGCGCCTCAAAATCACCTGACTTGTTCTTTCGCTTTTTGCGGCCCTCCTCCAGCAGCTTTTTCATGCCCGGGGTGGCCTTGTACTTGGGGTTCGAAGGATCGATGGCGAATTCGTGGCTCTCGAACACGGCCCTGAACCGGT